ATTTTTTTTATTTTATTTTTATTTTTTTCACATAAAAATAGTTTATTTTGATAAATAGAATTTATTTTCTTAAATAACTTATAAATATAATTAAAAATACTAAATATGTTTTTTATTATACATTTTATACTTGTAAATACCAATTTTTACACATATTTAATTTTTAATATTTACATATAATATTATTTATTATTTTCTTATACAAAAATGTACAAAATAATAACATGAAGCATTATTTTCTTTTAATTTGAAAACTAGGGTTTACCCCTTTCAAAAATAATTAATATATTTTTTAATAAATTTTAGGTTTAAATTAAATATTTTTCATACAAAAAAAACACGACCTAAAACATTTTTCTAACATAAACATTGCATTGCATTTTAAATATTTGTATTATTTATTTAATTCGTGCAATTTTGATTTGGTTGTAATAATATATTTAGTTTTATATTTGTGAAAATCCCCATTCAAACTTGTATTCCCCCCTCCCATAAAAATTGTTGTAATAGCTTAGTTTATTTTACGCAATTTATCGCTTTATATACTATGACTAGTAATTAGGGTTTGCATGACAAGAACAAAAACAAAGCAAAATAGAAAACCCTAAATGCAAGACAAAAGCATGAAAATGATACACTTTGCACACAAGCACCCTTAGGGTTTCTCCCACTTGGTTGCCTAAAATAAAATGGCCATGTTACGCATGCGAAGTATCTTGGAAAAACAAAACAAAAATGATCTTGGTCCCTCAAAAATGCTAAGATACTTGGCAATATTGCTATCATGGTCATACAATGATCCACGCCCGTCCCGTTTACATCCAAATATAGGGTTGCTTACCAAATCAATGGTAAGTCAACAATGTCAAAGGAATAAAAATGCACAAGAAAGACATTTGAGTAGGTAGATAGCTTCTAAGTTACTTGCTCAATTTCAAACAATCCTTGCTATTTTCAAAAACAAACACTACAAGAAAATTAGTGTTTAACGACACAAAAATTGCGACAGTTATGTGATAACTGTCGTAATTGACATATAGAGACAGTGTTTACGATAGTTGACACCAACCGTCCCTAATATTTATTTTGCGACGGTATATTTAACCATCATAATATTATTATTACGACGGTAAAACAACCGTCGGCCCTCATTTAACACTTTTAACATTGATTTTTCACCAACAACTAGTCACGACGGTAAAATTAACCGTCCTAAAAGGCATATCACGACGGTAAAGCACCCGTCGCACCCTTAAACCTTTCACGACGGTAAAATTATCCGTCCTAAAATTCATTTCACGACGGTAAAACAACCGTCACACCCAAAACCTTTAAAAATTCTCATGGGCACGACGGTAAAACACCCGTCGCAGTAAAAAAGTTAAAAAGCTCATAAAACATCGATTAGAATGTTTCTTTAACAGTATATTGGAATTCCTTGAACAAGTTCTGTTTCCGCGGCATCCTCGACGAATCAATCGGCGAGGGAACCCATTTCCTCATCCCATGGGTTCAAAAACCCTACATCTTCGATATCAAAACCCGCCCCCATACTTTCTCATCAATATCCGGCACCAAAGATCTTCAAATGGTTAACCTAACTCTCCGAGTCCTCTCTCGTCCCGACACCGCGAAACTCCCTGTCATCGTTCAAAACCAAATCGGCGGAGAACACAACGACCTTATCTCCTCTATATCAAATTCTCAATATTCGCCTGTCTTCACCTTAAATCGATTCAACCTTCTTCTATTTAGATTCAGTACTGTTTACCTCCGTCTCACTCTTCTTAACTCATCGTGGCTTCGATTCCAATTCAGTTCCATCGTCTCAACCATAGTTTCATCGTTTTTGATTCGAAGCTCTGAAAAATTCCGCTCAATTTCTGTTTCATGCCTCAACTATGATTCAAAGCAAAACGAAAATGTCACATATGCAAAAAAAAATGATGAGAGAAGAAAGAATACTTACATGTCGGAGTCACTCCGCCAACGCTTCAATCGTGATTCAGGTATGCATTCTTAATTCCTCATTCTTCTATTATTTCCGATTCACACGTATTTTCTATTGATTCGGTACAATTCAATTATTGAAGTTTGTTGTTGTGATTGGTGTTGAAATAGAGGGAATGCTTCAAGCTTGAAGTCGCGATGATGCCATTGATGATGAAGGTTGACGAAGCTGTGTAGAATATTGTAGAGAGGTTGTGTATAGTTGGCTATTAGGATGGGATGGCTTTAGATTTGAATGAAACTGAGAGTTAGTTGCTGATTGTAATTTGAGTTAGCTAATTGTTAGTGTGAAAAAGAGTTAAAATCGTCAATATTATTAGGGCCTGACTGTTAGGAATATCAATTGAAATGGATAACTGTTAGCTTAAAGTTGTTAGAAATTGTTATGTGAGGGATTAGGTTTGTGAAGTGGATATTTAAATTGACTTGAATCTATGTGATTGACTGAATCAGTTTTGCTATGCATTGGCCTTTTTTAATTTTCTGAATGAGTGGACTATTTTTTATGGTATTCCTGAACCGATTTTATGTGTTGTAGGGTTGTTAACTGATATAATGATTGGTATTATGTCTGTTGCATTCACTTATTTTTGGTATTCGAGCTGAAGGAGAGAGTGACGCTGCTATATTGATTTCCGAGGCTACTGCTGCGGCTGGGATGGGGTTGGTTGAGCTTAGGAGGATTGAAGCTTCCAGGGAAGTTGCTGGAACGCTTGCGAAATCGCCTAATGTTACTTATCTTCCTGGTGGAAACAACATGATGATGGCTCTTAATCCTGCTGGTTGATTATCACGGTAATAATCTTTTCCTCACTTTTCAAATTTTTATTTATTTATTTATTGAGTTTGGTTTTTCATTGCGGTTATAGTCATGAATTGAGGCACACTGCAGTCCATATATCAAAAACCTTGCTGTCACAATTGAAATTGCAGTGGCAGGTGGCAGACCTTTTTAAAACCCTAGTTCATTGCTATTTGTTACATTGCAATCCACACAATGTGTGTTCTTCGTATTTATGGTTGCCATTGGATATAGATATATAATCAATAGTTAATAAGTTACTTGAGTTTCAATTGTAGTTAAGTAGCAGGTGTTGAAGTTGTTGGTAAATGCCACAGTGATATTGGTAGCGATGCAGTTTTTGAGACATGTTGTGATGTTGTTGCTGTAATATTGTTTGACGTAGAGTGATCTGGAAGAAAGTGGGGTGTTGCTTTTTAGTCTTCCAGTTGAATTAATGGATTATATGGAGGGTTCTTGTGAATGTGGTTGTTTGTTTTGGTTCTCGGTAGGTTGTACTTATAGCTTTTAGGAGGATTAGACTTAGATAGAGTGCTTATGGCGCTGTTCTGACCTTTCCTCTCCTAATAATTTTCAAGTTTCTTTCTCAAAGCTACATATTCTTTCTTCATTTGTTGATAGCTCTTCCTACACCTGAGTATGTTACAACAACAACCATTGTTAGGAATCATATTCCATAAATAAATGACTTAGATTTAATTCATGTTTCATTACCCTTCTACATGGGTTGTTGCTGTTGTTTGCACTATCCTTGTCGCCGTTTCATTTGCTCTTGTACGTGGTCTTCATCATCTTGGCAAGTTTCTTAAGACGAAAAATCAAGAATCACTCTTTCAAGCCTTACAAAAAATCAAAGAAGGTTTTCCTTTTTTCTTCTTCTTCTACTTGTTATTAAACTAATGATTTTCAAAATTGAGATATGTTTAGTTTTATGGTTTCTTTTAGATTTTTATTATTTATATTATTACTATGCAGAGTTGATGCTGTTGGGTTTTATTTCTATATTTCTGGCTCAAGCACAAAATGTGATTGTAGAAATCTGTGTTCCAGAAAAAATGATGCATCATATGCTTCCTTGTAAACTTGAAGAAAGAGAATATGAACAATCAGTTGTAAAATCAAAACCAAAACCAATCGTACATTTTCAGACTTTTTTCTCTTCCAATGATGTTTTTGGCACTGCTAGACGCCTTCTTAGTGATAATGGTAATCATCCATCACAAGAGGGACAACATGGCTACTGTGCTGCCAAGGTATGATATGTTATTGCCTTTTTCATTTTGTTCAAGGTTTTAATGACTATTACATAAGGGTGCAAGTCAGTGTAAAATCCACTCACAGTCATATATCATGTTTATTCTCTTAAATGTTATTTAAACAATTTTAATTTGATGACTTATCCTATTATCCACTTTAATCATATTTTGTATTATCATTAAATTATTTTCAGGGAAAGGTTCCTCTGTTATCATTGGAAGGACTGCATCGCCTGCATATCTTTATTTTTGTCCTAGCTATTTGTCATGTGGCCATATCTGTTTTGACTATTGTTTTTGGAGGATTAATCGTGAGTATCTAATCATATGATTTTTTTAATCATAATCTGTTTTTTGTTTACAGCTCTTCTCTATTAATAAGAATTGTTGTCAATTATAGATTCGTAAATGGAAGCACTGGGAACACTCTATTGGTGTAGATGAAGACAATGAATCACAACATGGTAAGCTAACAAACTTGATCAGTTATAATGTAATCTTAATACTTTTCTGTCATAATTAATCTTTTTTATATGGATACTACTGGTCTAGTGCAGCTTCGGAGCGGGCGGAGGAGGTGACTCATGTTCATGAGCATGAATTTATACAGTATCATGTTTTTGGTTCTGGCAAAAATTCTGCTATAACAGGATGGGTGGTAGGTTAATTGTATTAAGTTAATCATATTTTACTGGCTTTATCGTGTTGTTATTGACATTATGTTTATGATTAGTTCTGATTTTTGGTTTTTTATTTCAGAGATCATTTTTCAAGCAATTTTATGGATCTGTGACAAAGTTGGATTATGTAACATTAAGGCGAGGTTTCATTATGGTAAGATTATAGTGTGCTGCATTTGCTTCTATTATCTATGCTCGAACCATATTATTAATTTTGTTTCTCTACTTTGGACTCATTGTAGGGGCAATCGAATGTTTAATTTTCATAAGTACATGAATCGTGCACTTGAAGAAGACTTCAAGAAAGTTGTTGGTATAAGGTATTTGTTTCTGCCAAGCTTCTATAATTATCACAATCTTCATCGGTAGTTAATCGACCTGGTTTTCTTTGTAGACTTATAGTGTAAAGTTATTGATTCTTTCTTGTCACTAATTTATAATTTTATGTTGATGTTTGCAGTTGGTATCTTTGGATCTTTGTGGTCATATTTTTGTTGCTTAATATCCATGGTACGCTACAAGACTTGGCACTTTTGTTTTGTTTCTCAGTAGTTCTGCTGCATGCTAACCATATTTTCTACCTTAAGTATAATGGTTATTATTACCTGTAACAATGCTTTAAAAACTGCATTGAAACCCGTTCAGTTCAACCAGTTGAATCAAGAACTACCAGTTTGATGTGTAGTTTAATCTTGGTTATACCACAGTCTCGTTGAATTAACAATTATGTCATTGTCCAATCGAAACTAAGATTTATTTTTATTGTTTCAGGTTGGCATGCATATTTCTGGATTGCATTCATTCCTATTATTGTAAGTATCTTTATAATTTTTATTTTCTTTTGGCTCTTTTCTCCATTCAAGTAAAGTTGATATATTTATTTTCCAATTTCTGTAGGGCTCATGCTCAGTATCCATTTCAACGTACTAAGCTCCATCATATATGCGCTGTATACTTCGAATGGCCTTCGGAGAGAACAGGTACTTTATCTAATTTCAAATGCTTATTCTTGTAACTCAAGAATTTGTGCTCCGAGTCATGTCATTAGTCTTAGTCAAGAATTGGTATATGCTACCTCTTGGATGAAAATTTGGAAGTTGTTTGAAATGCTGATTGTTGGTTCATGAAATAGATGGATATATCCTTCCATGTATAGTCGAAAGGGATTTACGACGATTTGCCAATTTGCGATCAACTTCGTCTGAACTTGGGTTGAACCTTCCTTTACATGAGGTACTGCTAACTCTATTCCAATGGAAGATAGGTATATTAATTTTACGCATTTAAAGTTAAATTTTATGAGTATTATTTTAAAGATTATTATTTTAATACCTTTTTTAGGGATTGGAATCACCCGCTGATGGTAGACGTTCATCTGAGTCTAGCTATCGTATTGGAGATAATGGAACTTCAGGGGGGACAAATTAGACTTTGCTATGATCGAGATAATTAGATTGTGAACTTTCTCATGTATTTTTGGCATAATGATACTTATTATTATAAGATTAGGAATTGATATATTTTGGGTTTTTTGTACTACTTGACATGATTATGGAACTCGCATTTTACATGATTATGGAACACACATTTTTTTGGATATTATAATGCTTATTTGATGTTAAATATTTTTTATTGAAATTATTTTTACTATATTACAAAGTGATAGAAAATAAAACAAAAAATAATACTATAAATAAATATATTAAAGAAGAAATAATTTAAAGAAAAAAATAACACAAAAAAAAACTATATTTAAAATTTTTTACATAGATAATAATTTAAATAAAAAATATATATAATAGAAAAATAAAAAAAAATCAAGACATAAACAAAAGTCATGGCGACAGTACCGAACCGTCGTAATCAACAAAAGTCATGACGGTATCGAACCGTCGCCATAAACAATTTAATCAATTTCAAAAGATATTCACGACAGTATCGAACCGTCGCCATCAATAATTAAAAGAAACTCAAAAGATACTCACGACGGTATCAACCCGTCGTAAACTTGAACGACAGTTTTTGTAACCGTCGCGAAATAGGTTGGGGACACACACTTCTGCGACGGTAAAGCAACCGTCGTGGAAAGCAAATTGTGATGGTTTTAACCGTCGTAATCTACAAAAATACCTGTCGCAATCTGCCAATTTCTTGTAGTGAAACACACACACATTTCAAAATATCTTACAAAACATTGAAAACATTTTCAAAAGACACACATCTTTGTATACATTCTTACGAACGAGAATCATTACAAAGATTGCCTAAACGAATGGCCTCTTTTACAAAATACTTTCAAAACCACACCAAACACCATTTCAAACAAAGCAAAGCAAGTGATCTAAACAAGTAACTAAGAGCCCATGGAAAACCATGGATGAAAAGGGTGCTAGCACCTTCCTTTTTCATAATCTACCCCCCGAACTTAAGAAAACAATCTCAAAGGTCTTTCCTGTGCTTTTTTACCTTTCCTTTTGGATAAAAGAAAAGTCGGTGGAGAATCTTGCTAACCGCAACATTTGCAATAAAACGCAAAACCTTCAAGTCAGTTCTCCCACCGTATCACAGTGTCAATCCTCAATTCAAACAATAACACCAACACTAATCATGAATTAAATTTACCAATCCAAAACTTATTCTCCTCGCCAACACATCACCAAACCAACAAGAGTATCATTGTCAACTCAAATCACTAAAATAATCATAACTCTAACATCTATTTTTTTACACAAAAACAACAAAAAAATTAAATATATACAAATATATTGAAGTTTACCAAAAAGTGAGGTAGAAATGTTGAGATGCTATTGGAAATGAACATAGGTAGCATCCAGATGTGGTGGCACGACAGTTTATGTTGGCGAGCAGTTGGTCATTGGACCGTGTGGGTCCGGCTACTATTTGGGACAAGGGTCTGCATTTGGGAGAAGCTGATTTAAAGAGGGTAGACAAAGGAAATTGGGTTTTCATGAAGATGGGTGGATGTACATATCAAGAGGAAATTCCTTCCATTTTTTTTGTTTTTGTGTATTTCGTGGTTTTTTGATCTGATAGACTCTTTTCAAATTGAAGGTTATACGAGAGAAGAGAGAGAGAGAGAGAGAGAGAGAGAGAGAGAGAGAGAGAGAGAGATAGATAGATAGATAGAGAGAGAGAGAGAGAGAGAGAGAGAGAGAGAAAGAATAGTTGTAGTCTGTGGTGCTCCCGATTCTCCTATGTACGCAATAATATACATTCTAAAATTTAGGGCTTCAAAGTTTCAAATGTTACAAAGTTACCCTTGGCTGAATAAGTGTGAGCAACGTTACTACAAGTAACATACATATATTTAAACTGCAAAACAAAACCGACACGGTCGCAAGCACACTACTATGTCAGAGTAGTAAAAAGTTATCGAACCACAAGGACCAATGGTTAAGTACCTATTTCTGTTTTATCGATGTAAATATATAGCGACCGAATAGTTTGGGAGAAACAAACTTTAGTGAAAAATCACTTAAGTAAAAACAAATTATTTTCAAAAGCACTTTTTGAAAACAGCTTAATTGCAAATAACTTGAGAAATAATAAAAATAAACAGGATTTAGGGTTATGATCTCTTACTCTAGAAATTTCATGTAATTAAATTACTTTCGCTATGATAATTCTTGCGCGATTTATAGAAAATAGATAAATATATAAAACACCTGCTTTCGCCAGCGTGTTATCTTATCTTTGATAAACAAGACTATAAAAAATCATTACCCTTGCAGAGCTATAAAAATGGAACCTTTCTTAACCTTGTTCGAGTACTTTCACATCATCAGACTTAATTGTTTAAAAACCTGTTATCGGGTATCGATGTAAGTCCTTTCAAATCATTATCGATACTTGAGAACTCTTTTACTTTCGTAACAAGGATAAAATATAAAGACTCGGGTTTATAAAATAAATGCATTTGAATTCTCATAACTGGTAAATTAAATACATGGATTATTAAGAGTTAGGTCTCATAACCCTTCATCCTTATAGAACTACTCACTCATGGTGAGAAAATAAACAAACAATTCGGAGGTAATGGTAAACATGATTAAATTAAATTAAATAATAAGAAAGAAATAAAAATAACCTGGTGAACATAAAATACTGAATTATATTGAGAATTATTGATCCAACGGCTCAAATGGAGACTTTTTCAAAACTTGATAAAAATGCTAAGAGAATTCTACAATCAAAGTTGTCTTAATCCTTGCAATGTTATTTTGCTTAAATAGAAAAAAATATACCTAAATAAAAATATCTTGGACAATAAGTGAAAATAAAATCAAATCTTCAAATGGGAACTCCCAAAATAGCACAATCAAGTCGGAAAAGGAAAGAAAACATGGAAGTTTTGCACGTTGATTATGGGTCGTAACACACATTACACCCACTCGTAATCGGCCATGGGTCTTTATACTGGGCACGCGCCAGGGAAGCGTCAGCTGAATTTCTATTACGGGTCGTAACGTGTGTTACGTGCACTTGTAACAGGCCACAAAAATTTGTGTTGGGGTGTGAAAACAAAGGCCTTCAGACTGGGATCCATTACGGGCCGTAACACACATTACGAGCACTTGTAATGGAGCTCTGGTTTTAGTACTGGAGATATCCGAAATTTTCATTTTATTCACAATTCATCTGATTTGATCCTCTTTACTTCCAGTATTATTGTTAAGGCTTGAAAAAAACAAAAACACAATACCAAAACATAAAGCATAGCAAAATGAAGGAAAAGAGAATAAAAAATGATAAAGTAACAAAGTAAAAGATCTAATAAAAACAATGCAAAAGCCACTTAACAAACTCCCCCAAACTTAGATTGTTTCTTGTCCTCAAGCAACAAAGCTTTCATAGAAGGTTTTTTTGGATCAAACAAACCAACAAATGAAAAGAGCTTATGAAAGATGAAGTGTAACGGTACTTACACGCGATTCTTTGTTCCAAAAGGCTAAGGGTTAGTTCTTCCGGTAGTTATTCGACTCCAAGATTCTTTAAAAGAATACAAACCAAGGTGAAACTATGGACCCAAGCTTCCTTAATCAGACACCTCTTTAACTATGTATTATACTTAAGTCTCGTCTCCAATTTTTCACCCCTTTCATTCGAACAATCAAATTAAGGCAATGAAAGTATATGATAATCATCGCATGCACAAGGTAATTTAAGAATTTTTTTCATTTATGCAACATTTTTTATCCAGCGATGAAGTTTTCAAAACCTTTTCTAGTTTGTATATTATCCTTTATTTAGGACGACGTTTGGGGTTCAACCACCATTGGGCTGAATAACCGGATGAGGGTTACCCGACTTAGAGGGCTGGTTGCGTTTTACCTCCTTTTCATCTTTTTGATACAATTTTTCTCCTTGTTTCTAAATCAACCATACATGCATGCAATACTAATTTATGTCAAACTGTCAAATTAAACTAATTGGGGGGGGGGGGGGGGGGGAGGGGTACTTCTCAGGGTCTAAGCGTTATGGTACAATTCTACATGTCTGACTCGTGTCACTTTTGGGGAAACTCAGGGTGTTCAATTAAAAACCCTTTTTATCAAACTTTTCAAGTTTTCCTAACCTCATCCTTTCACTCCTCTAACTCTATATACTTTCCAAGTTGCTTCACAATCAAAACTATTTTGAAAAAAAAAATTCACAGGTCATAATTCGTGAAAAGCTCAAGAAGTGGTATTACGAAAGTAAAAACAGAAGCAAATAAAATAAACTAACCAAAGTAAAAGTAAAGCAGGTAAATCCCCCCAAACTTAAACTAAACATTGGCCATAATGTTTTAGTAAAAGAAAGTGTGGGGAACTCATAGAGAATCTCATCGAGGAGGTGGAGGTGGCAAAGAGATTTAAAATTTAAAAAAAAAATTGAATTTTTGCGTCGGGAGCTATTACATGCTATAATGCCTGTTATGGGCGTACGTAACAGCTCACGAATAGTTGTACTATAAGAGGTGAAAGGAGTCTGGGTGTTGTTACAGGCTGTAATTCCTATTACAGGCGCCCGTAACACGCCTCTGGTTTCTCTACCGGATTTCTCATTTTCTTAATTTTTGGCTCAATTTTTCCGGATTCGATATCATGTGCTCATCCTTCTCAGATTTTTAAACAACTTAGGATGAATTCCTTTGTGAGTACCTGTTTATTAACTGGAAAAAATAAGATGAAAAAACAAATAAGAAAATTATTTTCATAAAACTAGTGGGTTGCCTCCCACTAAGTGATTCGTTTAACATTGCATGGCTCGACAGTCTTTAAGTGTTACCACTAAAGATGGTTCTTCCTTCAAAGTCAAATATGTGGTTTTCTTTCTAGTTTTCTTGGGTTTCCATCTGATCCTTTTTACCCATGCCAAACATCCAATCCTTCTCTTTCTTTGTGGACGTTCTCTTCATGTGCTCATATTTTCGGTAGCTTTCTCTTTTTCTCTTCCCTTCTTTTCATTTTTCCTCCATGTGACATCCTGTCGGACAAGGCTAAGGTATTGACAAGTTTTCACACTGTTAGAGAGGGTCTGATCATCAGGGATAAATAATCCTGTCTTATTTTATCCTACCTCAAAGGTTATCATTCCTTCTTTGACATAAATGATCGTCTCTATTATGGCCATGAAAGGTTTTCCTAAGATCACGGGGACCTGGAGGTTTTCATTTATGTCCATCACTACAAAGTCAACATGAAAGAAAAGTCCTCCAACTTTAACAGGGACATCCTCGAGAAGCCCTAATACTTTCTTGACTTATCCATCGGCAAGTTGTAGTGACACGTCACAGGGTTTCAGTTCTCCTAAGTCAAGCTTCCTATAGAGAGTGATGGGGAGCATATTTACGCTTGCGCCAAGATAATAAAGAGCCTTTTTAGCTTTTATAACACCAATCTCACATGGAATCAAAAAGTCCCTAGGGTTTTCCAGCTTAGGTGGGATCCCGTTTTGTATCAAGGTACTACACATAGCAGTTAGCTTTATAATCTCATGTTTCTTCATTCTTTTCTTAGAGATAATGGTTCTCATTGTTCCCAAAAGAGAGGATATCCAGGATGGGAACTCAGAAAGAGGGATGTGGTCGTAGAGCTTCTTTAGTGACTCTACAAGGTTCTTGCAGTGTACTTCTTCCTTAATCTCGACTGCTTTCCTCCCATGAAGCTAAAAATCTTCCTTCTTGAGTTTGTTAATTCTTTTCCTAAAATTCTCAGTAACAACAACTTTTTTATTCTTAGGTATGTTAACCTGATATGCACTCAAAATTGTTATGGCATTCAACTGACCCCTAGGATTTTGCTCGGGTTGCCCCGGGAAAGCTCCTGGAGGAACGAAGGTTGATGCTTGTTGTTGAGTAACCTGGGAGATTTTGGTTTCCAGCATTTTAGAATTAGTGACAATGCCTTCAATTTTTGTATTTAACTTCCTGAGTACTTCATTGGTGTGGAGGTTTTGATTTTTGAAATCTTCATTTTGGCGAGCTTGAGTCGCGATAAAGTTTTACATCATCAATTCGAGATTAGATTTATTTTGAGGGGTAATATCTTGAAAACCTGGTGGTGCTGCAGCTTGTTGTGGTTGGTGGTTTTTGTAGGAAAAATTGGGGTGATTTTTTCAACCTGGGTTGTAGGTGTTTGAATAATTATTATTCCTCTGATTGTTCAAGTAATTAACACTTTCTTGATTAGATCCTCCTGCTAGAATCATTTGGAAATCTTTAGCAATGTGACCATTCACTCCATAGATTTCACAGTTTAGAGGACCAGGGGCAACAACAACAACGAGAGTGGGAGTGGCTGATGTAACGCTCAATTCAGTGATTTTTTTAGAAAGTGCATCAACCTTTGCATTCATGTGGTAAAAAACACTCACTTCATGCATTCCCCCAATTTTAGCGGTTGCTTTTGCGGTAACTTGTCGTGTACTTC